TCCTCATTAGTTTATGTGCCAAGGTAGCATTTTGCATACACACCCATGTCATAGCATAACCCATGTAACCCACTTTATATTATTGCTACGGATATACAGGTCTTTTTTTGGAGGAATAACTTAACATAAAGAGAAATGGAACAACTTATTCAAAACACCCATAAAAGAATATGGAAAAACTAATGGAGGTAGTTATTAATCGTCTTATCATGCTCTTTTTTTTTGGGTTGGGGGAGGGGAGTAGTGAAAGAAAAGAATAAAGTGGGGGCACCCATCCTGTGGCCCTTGCAATTGCACATCAAATGCCTCGGATTCAAATTATTGTCCTTGTTGCACCTAGGGTAGCTTTTGGACTAAGGTATGAAGTTAGTGCCTCATTCCTAAGGTTAGAACTCAACCGAAATGAGTTCAGCTATGTCACCTATCAGTCCATCACCCTTCTGGACAAGAGTGAATTGACAAGCATTTGGGATAAGAATAGGCGTTCATTTGAATATATATGAACTATGATTGTTTAAGTTTGGGCAAGATGTTCCCTATAATCCCCTAGTGTACCAAGCCAGCAAGCCTTGGGATAAGAATGCTGCCAAGAGGCTTGAGCTAAACATCACAATTCGCTCATGAGGATAAAGTATGTGGGATTCAGATTCCAACGCCAATGTGGAAGTCAAGACTCCATATACTATATAGCCCCCCCCCCCCCCTCCCCCACCCTGCACTAGTTCCCCAATTCAAATTATATTTGCATAGTGAGGAAATGGATGTACTCCCTCCATCCCATAATGTAACATTTGTATTCCTTTTTGGGTGTTTCAAAATGATGTGCCTCTTTGGAATCTTTCCTCCATAATCATACTTCTTTTACTATATTACCCTCATAAAACTAATGTTATCCCAAATTTTACCTCATTTCACTTTAAAAATTTGTGCCTAAATGTATTAATTATCCATTGAAAACATTTTTTTTTACATTTCAACGCTTGTGCATGATTAACTGTGCAGCATGCTGTTATTATTTTCCTTGAAAACAGATTAAAAGAGTTAATTTAATATAATTGTTGCACTTTTATAGTTTTTTTTATTAATTTTTCAATAATATACTCTGATACTCCTCTTTTCTTGATACCCCTAAAAATGAGAAATGGTTACTATAATAAAGGACAGAGGGAGTAATAAATTGGGAGGAAACAAATAGGAGTACTAAAAGTGTAAGCATCGGTGAGGTATCTTTTTTTTTTTTTTTTTTTTTGTCGACTTCTACTTTTTCTTTTACCTATGTTATTCATACCCTTTTTCAATATAATCTTTACCTCAAGTTCCAAAGTTAAAGTTTAACATTCTGATATGAAATTAGGCACATAATATTTTTTTTTGGACCACCCAAAGTATGCGAAATTGTAGTAAAATAGTCAACTTAAACCCCTATAATAAACGAAGGAGAGAAATCTTGCCTGTGTCAAGGCTGTTGCATCTGCAACAACGAAGGGCACATTTACAAAACGAGCAAGTGTCTTTGCAAGAAGTGTCTTTCCTGTTTTGTATTTAGCAACCAACAAATTTAGGTTTAACATATATATTACTCTGTATTTAAAATTGCCAAGAAAAACATTGTTTACAATAATAGAAAGGAATCAGAAATCATTACCAGAACCCGTTGGGCCCATCAATATGACATTGCTCTTCTCTAACTCTACATCATCATCCTCTGACTCCATAGCATGTAATTGCACTTCTGATCTAGTGTCAAAATCATATAAGCATAAAATGGAACACAATAACCAGCAACAGATAGCTTAAGAAATATGAAATTGTTATAACTTCAAAACTTGCTGATCAGAGCACGTATTGTTGCACTCTTGAAAAGAAACGCAAATTTGATAAGGAGCAACAAAAAATGGAGATAGTTCTCAGGACAAACCTTTCATCGAAGCATGTTGAATCCTTTTATAAATGATTATGGACAGCCACAGAAAGGACCTGAAAATGAGAAAAACTAAAACAAGTATCCAACTATATAAAACCATAGAAACTTGTTCAAAGAAATGGAGAAAATAATATCACTAGTACATAGGTGATGAAAAGTGTCCAATGACAACTATGTTTTCTACAATTACTACAACCAATGACACCCTAAGAAAGATCCTTGTTTCAAGAGCTAGGTCAATGGAGTGATATAGTATGGTACAATTTTAACAGTATGTAAACTTGCCTTAATTGGTTGTCAGAACCTAATAGCACAAGTGCCCTTTAAAGTAAACTTCATATGGTGTACTAATTGTTCTTCCTCCAACCTTACAGTTATACCTACATCCTATTAATCACTATGTCAAAGGAAAGTGTGCAAAATGATGTACTCGTAGTTACCACGGGTAACAAATTAAAATTAGAAGTTTTTCTAAGCTAAAAACCCAAATATCACACACTCAAATAGACAACAATTAACACAAATCAACAGCATTTAAAATCTATATCAATAAGCTCACAGTCAGAGCAAACCTTTTTGGCATGGTGTTGTCCAACGACAAAATTATCCAATCCCTTGCAAATTTCCTTCGGCGTAGGCAAATTCTTCCCCAAATATGCTCCTGCCCAACCAGTTTGATCACTCTGATTTCCCTCACTGCGCTTATCTTTACCCTTCCCACCACGACGACCATGACCATGACCATGACCCCTAGAATTATGAACCCCCAGTATGTAAGGCGGAGTTGGTGGATTGTGAATCATCATCTTATTTTCAACATTCAAAGGCGGTTCGCCACTACTCCCGCCACCACCACCACCAATATATGAATTCTTCATAGCCTCCCAATATTTCAACGAAATCCTAAAATCATCATTATTCTTAAATTTCTCGTTGTTATCATTAGCATTATCACTATTGATTACACAGTTATTAGCATTATTTCTACCATTCTCATAGCTCCCAATCTCCAGAAAAACTCCCATGAACAGGATCCATTTTATGGGGACGAAAATAAAATTCAGATTTACAATTTGGACAAAGACAAACAGCTTGAAAATCAAATTCTCCAAGATTATCACCCTCAATCGACGAATTATGAACATAATTTTGATTTTGATTATTAGATAAAAATACATCTATAATCCTAGAACACCTAGGGCAATTCACCTCCGCCATAATTCTCCGACGATTAGGGGAAATCGCCGCCCCAATTGCATCTCTCTTGATTTCTCGCCGGAAAGTTGAGGATCGCCGGCGGTTGAATCATCTCCTGCACCGATCATCGCCGGAAAAGAGGATCCGACGCAACGCAGATTGCCCCAACAACCTTCTCCAGTGTAATAAGGTAGACATTTTTGGAGCTTTGAAGGTTGCAAAAATGGTGGATTTAAAGTGATGGAGGAGAGAGAAAGAGGAGAAGAAATGAGAGGAATTGGAGAAGAAGCGAAAGTGTAGAAAGAAAGAGGAGATGAGTTGAGCATTTTTGTTTTCCCTCGCTTTTTTTATTTTTTCTTTTGTTTCTCTCAAACGTCTGCTTTCTCCTATATAACCGCTTGCACTTGCACCCATGAGTCCATGACCCATCGGTGCATCCCCTTTGTTTTATATAACATGGACTATCTAATTTTTGGTCTCGGACAATGGTTAGACCCACCTGGTCTATCTAATTTGCAAGTCTCTGGTAATTCTTGATTTTTCAAGAAGTATGATAGATTGATATTATAACTTAATGAAATTTCATTATCATGTTTGATTGACATTAAAGAAAATTGTTTATAGGTTATACTCCGTACAATACTTAAACCCAAAACCTTAAGTTTAAAATCTAAAGTATTAGCCACTAAACTATCACCATATTATATATCATGCTATGAAACTTAAATATAAATAAGGATTTCAATTACGAAATTAATGCAGTAGGTTGGGGCATCGCCCGAGCCTAAAAGCTAGTGTAATTTTATACCAAAATAAATTTGGAAAGTTTGAGTTATCAATATAGCCATGTAGGGGTGGGTAAATTATTTTCTATGATTTGTAGGAATTCTAAATTCTCGAGAAATTTCAACTTCTCACATTTTTACTTCTTTATTATGTTAACCAATTAATTACCGATTAATGCCATTAATATATATTTTCCCATTATTTAAATACCACCAAACAAAGTCTTAGTTAAGACGAACCAAACAAAGCCTAAGTTTAGTTACAAATCTTCTAATATTAGTGAAGAGCAAGCCCCAGTTGATAAGTTTTTTGACAGGAGGCCCAATTGATAAGTTTGATTAACATAATCTGTAAATCGACCGTTTTTTTCCATAAAAAAAAAAATCTAAAATGGGAAACCATCACACTCACCACTCTATCGTAGCCTCTACAACATCATCACAACCTCCTATTCCTCATCAAAACCCATCACAACAATCACCAACATCTCTCCGTCTTCGCCTTCCATTCTTCTTTTCTCAACAACAATGGCGCATTTTAAGGGAAGTATCTCCTACAATGCCGCTTCGTGGCTGTAGACTAGTCGGTTGAACATAAAGACACCCTAATAGCAAAAGTGTATAAAATAGGGGTCATGCTAACCCCTAAGAGAAAACAACGGTCGGCCAAACACTACAAGAAGCAACACTTTGAAATTTTGTTAAGCTTCTATGGTTATTCATTCATTGGAGAACGGAAGAATAAAGGAAAAAGGGAGTAATTAAAAGCAAATGAAATGACGGAATTGCTCCCCATCTTATTAAATGAAATGACCTTGATACCCCTAATTTGCATGCATTACTCCTTCCGCATTTAAAACAGATGAAACATTTTTCTTGTTCATGTATGCCAATGTAAAACTTTGGCGGATGATATCTTTAATTATCAATAAATAAACACTATAACAGTTGATATTACTCCGTAATAAACTATTTATTGAGACGATTCCAACAAGTACCCATAAAAATTATATTTTTTTTCTTAGTTACTGTATAGTCTCAAATATTAATCAAAGTGAATTGAATTAATAGTGCAAAAATTCAAAGCGTTTCACTTGTTAAATAAGGGTTATTTTTTCTTAAAGTGAATCAAAATTACAAAACGCTGTCCTTTAGCTAAAACTCAGGGAAAATCCAAGTTACTCCCAACTCAAAATTCAAAAACCTAAAACCCTTATTCTTGGCAATCGAAACTTCGGAAGTATCCATTATCAACCAAGGGTTTTACAATTGTAGAGAAAAAATGGCGCTTTCTATGCTTAAATCCCTGAGAAAATCAACGGCATCAATCAGCTTATCATCATCATTTCTGAATCAGATTTCTTCAACATCATCAACCCCTTCTTTCCTCAAACCCTGCGGCTGTGGCTGTGCGCAGTTGCAGAACAAGTTATGCTACTCTAATGCAGCAAATGATGATAGAAGAAAAAGTAAAGAAGAAGAATATGGTGAAATACCCACTGAAGGAATTAGTAGACCCATGTCTGAAATTCTTAAACAACTCAACAAAAAAGTTCCTGATTCTCTTATTAGTGTTCGCCCTGAAAATGGGGCTTCTATCAAATATATTCCATGGTAATTTTTGCAACTTTTTTGGTTTTAATTTCACAGTTTTTGGTGCTTTTTAGCTGAATTTTGATCAATTGATGCTGGTTTTAGTCTAATTCGACATGGGTATGTGTCCAAGAGTTAGACTTGGCTAGTTTGTGTTGAAAATTCGACACGGGTACTTGAGGTTAAGTGAAGAGTTGGAGTAATGTAGGTGTTTGGTCAACTTGAAATTGATCAATTGATGCTGGTTTTAGTCTATTAGACATGGGTATGTGTCCAAGAGTTAGACTTGGCTAGTTCATGTTGAGGATTCAACACGGGTACTTGAGGTTAAGTGATGAGTTGGAGTAATGTAGGTGTATGGTCAACTTGAAATTTCTTCAAAATTATAATGGTGCTACATTTTGTTTGGTCTGTTAATGATTGGTTTTTTGTTAGACTGTCGGGTAATGTGTCTACTTATTGGGTATTAGGATATTGTGGGGTTCTTTTTGGTGTGTTTTAGGTTTGAGTATTGATGATAATATATGAATTTTGTGCTTGATTTGCTGCTTAATTGATGTTTTGCACTATTGCAGGCATATTGTGAATCGAATTATGAACTTACATGCTCCAGGTATTCAACAAAGCATTGGTTTTGTAGCAACTTTTAGGTGATTTTTCCCCCCCTTGAATGCTCAGTTTTTGCCATACTTTCATGAATTTCAGAATGGTCGGGCGAGGTTCGGAATATCACATACTCACCTGATGCCAAGTCTGTAACTGTTGTTTATCGCGTTACACTTCATGGGACAGATGCTGAGGTATATCTTATTAGCTCCCATGACATTCATTGTTGGATTGTTATACTTATGATTTTGATTGGATTAGCAATGTTGGGTGCAATTTTTAGTGGGATAAAAGGTTACATCCTGTTTGAATTTCCCTGGACAAATCAATTGCCTTGGAGCAATATCAAATTGTATTGCTCCATATAATTATATTCGTGGCAACAAGATTTTTCTTTATGATTAATAAAAATATGCCACATTTAACTTAAAATCATTAGAAGTCTTTAATAGTTTAATACTCAAAGCTTCTATCTTTAATCGGTAACTTGTCAAAGTCTATAATGAGCTATGATGTGAAAATTTTATTGATTTATCATGAAAAGCATGATCATATACTTGTATATTTTAATTGTTATGTAATGAAGTTGAGAAGGTTTGACCATAAGACTCTGTTGTAGCCTGTCAATTTTGGAACATATGGAGTAGTGAATAACTTGTTTTACTGGAGATTGGTTACCCAACTTACAAAATGCCACTCATTTGGGGGAGGGAAAGACTAGACGAGTATGGGAGATGGTAATCAAACCTGTGCCCTCAAAGTCATTAGGTTGAGAGCTTACCACCAAGCTTCCTCTTGCCTCCCAAATGGAGTAGTCAAGTAATAATATGCGGGTTGTACCAATTAGAGAAGTAACCTAGTCTTCTTCTAGACTGCATTAAGGCCATTGACATTGCTCAGTAACGAACATTCTCATGCCTCATAATGGTGTGCGCCCCTAACTAAAGAATTGTAATTTGTGAAACGGAGTCTGACCCCACAAGGAATTCGTGTAAGTTAAAGAACAGACAAAAGTTAACCATAATTTACCTCAAAAAAAAAAAAAAAAAAAAAAAAGGTTAGCCATAATTACATTATTACATAAGCATTATGCAAGCTTAATCCACTATGTTAACATTGTTAAGATACCTGGGTAATTGTAGTTTGTTCATGAATGAAATCATTTTGATGTGAAAATGTATGTCCCAATTACTTTCATACGTAATATATTTTCCTTTTTAAAATTTACCTCTCAAGATGAAAATGGTACTGAATTAATTACCCCTCTGCATCAAATAGATATATAGGGAATCAACAGGAACTGCTTCAGTGGAAGAAAAAGGCTATGGAGACGCCGTACAGAAGGCTGAAGGAATGGCCTTCCGTCGAGCATGTGCACGATTGGGACTTGGGCTTCATCTCTACCATGAAGATATGTCATAGTATGGTTTCATTATTGAGCATATTCAGTGGGCAGTGGCTGTTTCTTTTTGCGGTTGTAAAGGTTGCATAGCTGTAGCTTGTTCTTTCTATGTGGGTGGTTTTTGACTTTTTTTCCCCTTGTGTATATGGGGCCGGAGGATAAGCTTAATTTTGGACTGCTATGCACCTGTATGAAGGAGATGGTGGTCGTCTGGTCGATTATTAAAGTACTGAAGAAACACGAGCCAATTAGTCATTGTCTGATTAAAGCTTGCTTTGTTATTCGTTGAAAATCTAGACCTCTTGCATGCTTGTCTATTTCACTAATTAGCCTCTTTTCTTTTAATATGCTCAACTGCTCATGCAATATATTCTTCATTTCTTCTCGTGATTCGATTTTGACATTTTGTTAAGAAGTATTTTTTTTTTGGTTTGGTCTTGCTGTGGTGAAGTATTGCTTAGACTAGTTTTTACGAGTAGTTACTAGTGTTATATCTTATATTGTAGTTTATGCACATCCACCCTTTTAATGTGTCACATGGCGAAGGAGAACTTGGTCTCGTCATTAGACCATTAGGGGACCATTGGGGGGTTGTCAAGAGTATATGCATTGATAGATTCGACCCTAACATTGGCATTACAGAAACACTGCCTAATTAACGTAATTATGGGGATCAAATGACTATGATAACCAAGACTGCTGTTATATTATCACAGATGGTTTCATATGCTCAGGGGTGTTGGATATTGTTGCCTTATTCCTCTTCTATAGTATCTTCTTCGTCCCATAATGTTAGAAATTGATTACCTCAATACAGCTAAATTGTTTCGGGACAATTCATTGCAAACGAATTATAGGACTATTCTTATTGTACGTAAAACCTAGAGAGGTCTCATAGTGTGATTGTACTAACACTTAAAAGGTACGCCACTAATTTGTAATTATGGTGGTTGAATACGTACCCCGAATCTACTTAGCTTTGTCCGTACATTGACTGTAAGAGTGGAGTGGTAGTTTCTACTTTCTTATGAGTAGTTAATTAGTTATACTAATACGGAGTAGGAGACAAACTCAGAAGATTAATCCAACGAACATTGGGCAAAATTATTATAGGGCATGGGGGAATATAAGAGTACGAGTATTCAATTTTGACTAAAATTTACATCTCCTTTCCTACTCACTCTCCTCTTCCACTACTCATTCTCTTCCACTACTCATTTTTTCTCTCCCCTTCCCCTCAAACCACCAACCCCTTACCATGGCCAACCTTTGGTGACCACCGCTGGCCACCGCTTGGAGTGAGATATATATTTTAATTTTTTTCAATTGACACACTTTGACTTTTGAAAAAAAAATGGAGGAAAAATGTTTAGTTGAGAATCGCATATGAGACAGGAACTCGGGAAGAAAGAGAATGACAATAAGATATATAGTAGTGGGGCTCATATCATATGGGTAAATGAGTATAGGTAAATTTTCCATTTAAGGTAACAAAAATTATTTGAGGACCAACCAAAATAATATACACAGTGGCGAATCCAGAAATTTATAAATGGGGGTTCAAAATGTTTTCCAACTTAATCATACCAACTTACGAAATAATTAAAAAAAAAAAACTTTTTTTGGATTTTTGAACAAACTAATTCAAAGTTCCTTTCTTTTTTCTTTCATCAACCATCTTCTCACTAATTAAAAAGTAAAATACTTTAGATAATCGGAAACAACTAGTCAATTTGATATGTTACCCTCGTTTCATATTATTTGCGATAAAGTTTATTATTTATGAAACGGGTGTAGTAAATTAAATCTAAAATCAATCGATTACCTAAGTCAAGCACTCACTCTAGTACTATAAAGTATACAATCTCAATCAATCAAATGCACAAAGTAAAGTATAGATAGTTTGAGGCCTTTGAGTTTGAGTCTTGGAAAAAGGAGACTTGGAGAGAAAAAGTAAAAGTTATTTCATGAGACTCAAACCCAATGGTTATTGACCTATGAGGTTTAACAAGTGCAAAATATAATTATTTAATGGATTTTAAGATCGGGAGAACAATCTTGTATATTAAGATTAAAATTAAGTTGTTAGGTACCCAATACCTATGTGTGTGTATGTTTTTGTTTGCAGATATGATTGAGAGGCTTAACATATGATATGGAACACATGATGCTGATATATACGTATGTGTATCTTTTTATTTGCAGATGTGATTGAGAGGCTTAACAATTTGAGAGGGAGAGGCATGGCTTCAATGTATTCGTGGTCTTCTTAAATGTAGTCATACATTATCTTGTCATCATTATTTTTTAGGCTCAATGTGTAAGTTTCCATATTCTTCTAAGATGTCTAACACTTGCTGGACATGAATATAGCATGGTAGTGGTGGAATCATAGTTAGTGTTATAAGTTGCATACTATTAATTTGGATGCATAGTAGCTTAGTGTAGCTGAAGTAGATGTAGCAAAAACTTGAATGTTCTATATGAAGCCCGAGGAACTAAGGAACTCAAGTGTGGGCTGGTGAATCGGTTGGATTTCGTAGACTGCAATTACAGAAAACTGATGTCCATGCTCATGATATTAAATTTACAAGGGTATTGGTTCGTGAAAGTGAAATCCGAAAGATCATATGAGCAGCTCTAGCAAGGAGGGGCATAAAAAAAAAAACCTAGAAGCTAAGACAAAGGTTGGTCAGATACAACAACTAGAACTCGTGTCCAGGTGCAAAGCCACATTTCTTGATGTATTGGAGGCGTGCTTGCATCACACAAAAGAATTTAGTTTCAACCGCTCTTTACAATTACTAGTATTGTCTTGTCATAACTATCTCAAACATTCTTCGAATTGGCATCTATTAATCTAAAGTTTTTATCGACACGGACCTAAGCCATAATTGAAAGTTAAAATCATTGTAATTAATTATAACACCATACAATGTACAAGTAATTAAACAGGTTCCTATCTTTCATACTTGTTCGTTATAATGCAAGCTTATTTTTGTCCATAATTCTATTGTTTTTTTTTTTTTTTTTTGGGGGGGGGGGTAGGGGAGGGATAACTCTAAATTACAAATAAACTCGGCAAAATTTGACTTGAATATGAATATGATTATTGCTTGAAAATGTAAGTTATTTAAGAGATTTTGCGTTTTGGTTAATGGTTGTTGAGATAGTTTAAGTCTAAGCAAAAATTGCCCAAGTTTTTACTAATTGGAGCTGAAGACAAGCTTGGTTGGAATTTGGGAATGAGCTTGTTTGACACATGCAATCATTCAACATCTATTGTTTTTTATCCTTGGAACTTTATTTCTCCACTTAACTTAGTTTTTGAGGTTAATTGGTCATTTTTGCCCGTCTACTTCAGTTTTTACCCATTTAAGAAAATAACTTCAATAGTTTTGTAACTTTAACAAAATTAATTAATAACTTATAATTTCAATTTACTTCTTAAAAAATTTGTTTTACGGAGAAGAAGAATAAACAATAGTTATATGACATTTACAATAATTATTATGATCACAATTGTAACCGATTAAAACTTAAAGCGAGGTGTATTTGGCATCTTATGTTTTTCAAAAAATCTCAATGGACAAAACACTAAGAAAATTAAACTAAAAGAAAAAATTATCCTTAAAAATTAAAGGTAAGAAATGTAGAAAATAGACTATTTCATCCTAAACAATTGATCAAGACAAATGGGATCCCAAAAAAGTGGTTGCAAGGTTTTAGATTTAATTGTCACATTACAATTAAATAATACTTCTATTTAAGAAAAAAAAATGAATAATAAATAAAAAAAAATATTTCTTTGTTCACATCCCTTCTTTTTCTTAAGGCTAAATGATTGATAATTCGTAAATAAAAAGTTGTGTTTTTTCACATTATAACCTATCTCTTTTACTCTCTCCAAATTATTATTTTTCTTTTTTCTATTTGGAATTTGGTCATTGTTTAGTATTCTTTTTTCAAAGGATATCACTACTAAGTATTATATATAGAGATTTCAAATTAATTCTATTATTATGGAATACAAGAAAATGTGATGTCTTGTTAATCATCTCAATGTGTACTTTAAATATATAGCAAACATTTGCTTTTCTAGAAATCGATACTTTTTACAACTCCTTCACTAATTCTAAAGTAGCTTGCTAAATTTTTTAACATTGCAAAGATACACATCATTTAACACATTAATCGTGTATGCACAAATAACTTAAATATAAAAGGTCATGCAAACAGGCATAAGGTATTAAGACTAACTGCAATAAATCTTATCAAAACACTACCTATATCGCGCGCATGGGTACCCCTAGTTGATATAAAATTTATAATATAAACTTCCTACAATTAGTTTATATTCATAATTAATAAAATAGTGGTTAAAAATTACATTAACAAATATGAAGAAAAGACTAATTTTATGTTCAATTCAACTTAGTTAAATTGATATCAACATATATATAGAAATTATTAAATCAGATTAGATCAAATCAGATCTGATCTTTTCATTTGTGTTTATATAGTATTTGGAGAATGCATATTAGGATTAGTGTACAATCTAGGTAAAAGCTTGGTCAAATGTGAAAAACAAATTAAAACGGAGAACATATTAGATCATATGAAGAACATATAGTCTATTGTAATCTACAATAGATACACCCGAGCGTATAATAGGAGAACTCCGCACACGCCATTCCCACGTAAAAAAGGAAAAAAACAAAAGAAGAGAGTAAAACCCAAACTCCAACCAAAGCGCGTAAACCAACAAAAGTAAAGAAAGAGTGGTTTCAATATAAGTCACTTTTATAGCATAGTTAAATAATTGAAAGAGTAATATCATCCAACCTTTTCCTTTTCTAATTCCCTTCCCTCCCAATTTTCTCTCTCATCTTCCCTCCCTTTCCCCTTTCCTTCCCACCAGATCTCTCTTACTCTTAGCCCTAATCAGTAGTTCGGCTGTCAATTTCACTGTTTCACCTGTGCCTTCAAAATATCAGAAATGACTCCAGCACCACCCGGACCCGCAACGGCGGCACCCGGAAACAATAATCAGTTCGGCGATACGACGTACACTAAGGTGTTCGTCGGAGGATTAGCGTGGGAAACTCAGAAAGATACTCTCAGAAATTATTTTCATCAGTTTGGTGATATCTTGGAAGCTGTCGTCATTACTGATAAGGCTACTGCTAGATCCAAGGGCTATGGTTTTGTACGTCTCTTACTATTTTTTTTTTTTTAATGTTACTTGCATTTACTACCATTTCCAAAAATCTAGATCCTTCCATTTTCGCTGAATTTTTCAGCATTCAATTTCGTTTTCTGTAATTTATATTCAAAATTACAGAAGGTCTAATTTTGATTCACGTATATTTTCCTAGGGTTTTTATCATAAAAAATAAAAGTTCTTGTATATTCTTATAAGGTGATTAGTTTTTTTTTAATTTAGATTAATGAAGCTAATTTTTAATTTAGATGAAATAAATAATGTTTGAGATGATTAAGAAAAACATTTACTCCACAATCAATTTGAATTTACACGTAAGATGGTTTTATTTTCTATAATAATCATGTTTAAATAATTTCTCCGTTATTCAATTTAGGATTGAAGTTGGTCATTTTTCTCGTGTTACTCGAATTAGGATCCTTTCTAGTTCATTTTCTTCAATTTTCATCTTCAGACTAACTTGTTAGTGATATAAAAAAGGCTGAAAAACTTGTCCCAACATGCACATCCGACTGTCCATCCGAGTGTTTTTAGGCTCGGTAGAATGTTTGATCATAGTAAAGAGGGGTAGGTTATAATCTCCCGAGATTCCTTGAACTTGAATATACATTTGGTGGTTATAAAGGGAATATATTTTTAATTTTTTTGGGAATTAAAAGAATGATATTCTTGCTTGCTTTTTACTTATTGCATATATGTTTTTATTTAATAATAAATTAATAGGTGACTTTCCGAGAGCCCGAAGCTGCAATGAGAGCATGCCTTGATGCAACTCCAGTGATTGATGGAAGAAGGGCCAATTGTAATCTTGCTTTTTTGGGTGCTCAAAAATCTAAACCTTCCACTCCTTCCCACCACTCCACTCATGGTACATTCTTCAATTTTTTTATTTTTTTATTTTTTTATTTTTTTTATTTATTAATTAACTAATCATATATGTTTTATAAGTTTGCGCTATTTTAAATAATAGGTCACATTTAATCTTGTTTTACAACTGATATACGATACATAAAATGGCTGATATATTGGCTTATACTCCGTAATTTAATGTGAGAACGAATGAAGCTGTTTTATAATATTTGATACTTTACTATTGATTTAAGAGAGACAATGATGATAATTATAGAAAGTAATCAAAAGTCACATGATACTATGATAGTAATATGCTGTTTATTATCCTAAATAGGAGTAATCATGCATATTTGATCGTGTTTATGGGGCTAAGATTTGACATAAAGAGAGTTTGAATGCTCTAAATATATTCTCTATAATTCTATATGTATCACCTAGAATATCTATGGACAATTAATTTGATACCGGATTAGCTAAAGTTAATTCTTTCTCTTACCTAATTTGTGAGACATTAGAATTTTCTTTCTCCTCCAATTTTGCTATTTTGGATAACTTATTACCAGACTGTTCTCCAACCACTTTTGATTGCTTGGAAGAGGGATATTGTTCTTTCATTAATACATTTTCTGTATTTTTTTTTTAATCGCAACGTTTTTCTTTTCAAGAAGTTAGGGAAAAAAATTGCAACAATTGCTTTATTTGGCTAATGATTGTCATGTTCTCCGGTCTTAACCTGTTTCTGTAACAATGTTCTTAAATGTTGTGTTATCTTAATTCTATGTCTATCGCATCCTTTAATTTAACTACCGACATATTATGAAATCCAATCATAAACTTATAGTGGTGATCACTTTCTCCAGGCAACATAAAATATTGCCCCATATTGAATTTCGTAACTATTTATTTTTATCCATAGTTTTGTATTAGATAGTCCAATAAATACACCCAGTAATACTCACATAAAAAAGTTTAAAAGTTAATACAAATACGTAAAAAGCAACTTTTACGTTGTTTTTTTTTTTTTTTTTATGTGACTAATACTTAATTTGACCATGAGACCATCTTATACAAGAATTTACCTAAATTTTTTCAATCGCGCTGACGAAATTGGTTGGGAGAACAGGAATAAGCAGGAATGTGAAGGGAATGAACAACAACAATGGTGGTGAGAGTGGGTATGGAGGAGCAGCCTTTATTGGAGCAACAGCATCCACTACCTTTCCTCATTATGCCATCCAACAAGGGATTCCTTTAGCTCATTTCTATGGGTATTATTCCATTTAATTCATTCCTTATATATTTTTTTTTTGAGTATAGTGACTGTAGTCTACTTGTAAAATTGACTGTCTTTTGCTTTTTCAGTGATTTTTTTTTTTCTGTATCCCTTTGTCTGTCCTATTGTCTCTCTCATCACGTGCTCAGTCTGTTGGATGCACATGCTTGACAGCTCATTTTCATAACCCAATTTAAAGCTTTACCCCGCATGCTCACTCTCTCCTGTATTTTTTTTTTGGGACATTGACAGCGTTACTGAGAAGACTAGCATGTGTGGTCTTCTCATTACATTGCCCAGTTACTTAGGTTCTTTTGTAATCACTTTTGGCTAAATCTCTTATAGTTAATATAGCATTTTATCTAATGATAGTTATAATCATGATTAAAGGATGACTTGTAATACTGTATGTTACATGATCTTCAAGCCTTTCTCTTTGGGGTCGACAATACAATCTTGTTATAAATTAGTGTGAGACGATCTCTTCTGATGGTTTCACTGTATCATACTACTGTTTTGAGGTCTTAAAGATTAAAATAAGTACGTTGAATTTGATTATAGATATATTATCGATTATCTTTATATCTCATTTTATAAGCTTATTTACTATATATGCATATGCATGTAGTGGGACAATGCAAAGAAGTGCTAGTATATTGTTTAAGGAGAAGAGCACTAAGGAAGTATATGATTACAAAATGCAGTTCTTGTATGATGATCAATGAATCTGTTCCCCACACCCTATAAACAATGATATGTGCTAATTTTGTTCTTCTTTCTTTCTTGTACAAAAATGGTATATCATTCGATTGTTCGAATAATTTTGTTGTGCCATTTTAATTTGCGATCATGTCGTTTTCTGTCAATTTTTACAGATCTTTTTGAGTTATAATCATGAAAATGAAAGCATCATCTAGTTTGATTATTCGATCCTTCTCATCTTACTTTTATCTAAGAAAATTGCCGTGAGTTTTATTGGTTGTTTAATACGAAGTATAAGCTAGATCATTGCTTTTCTCTTACGTTATTTTTATTTCTTTTTCTCTTGGACACTTTTCAGGTACCCTCCATATTCATCTGATTACACTTACCCTGCGGTCAGTGCTAACTTTTCTGCACTCTCTAAGATTGCTTCACCTTAACCATTGTTCAGAAATTGGCTTCTAATTCAATAAAATTGTTTTGATTTGTATTTTTGGTATTTGATGTAGATAGTAGATAATATCTGGTATAAGGTAAAGTGTCAGACATTTTCTTGTGGACGAAAATAATAGTGTTAACAGTTACATCAAAGAAAGACAAAGAAAGTGCTTGATTTAGACAACTAATTAAGGATTGTAACAAGCTAAGCTATAAAACTCAATTGTGATGAATATTTCTGTAGGATATTGTTTTAGAATTTTTTTCTTACATTAACTTTTGCCGCTCTCTAATGGATTCCAACTGAGAGTTTCATGGAAAACACAACTATAATCCATTACAAAATAGGAAATGTGATGATAATTCACTAGAGATCCCAAAACAGACTATATTAGTATGATTTTCTGATGGAAAGTGTAGTAAATTAATGCTCATATTACTTATTTGGTCTCTTATTTGGTTCCAGGGTTACTATGGAGTACACGGAGTAGCCAATCAGTACCAGCTGTATGGAGCAGCCGGGGCAGCTGTAGGAGGCATGATGAACTGCTTCTATCCTTATCAACTGCAGTTTGGGGATCAAGTGAATACTGCTGGAGGAAATGCTGCAGCTAATACCGCTTATGCAACTGCTGCGGCACAGCCCTATGGTCTCCACTACCCTCATCATGGCCTATTCCCATTTTCTTCTGCTACCTCTCCTCAGCAGTATTACAGTCCTCCCATGTCTTTTGCTGCGGCCACAAACCCTATGCAATCAGGTTTGTAGTCTTTGTACTATCATTTTCTCATTACGTTTGAATTTTTTTCCATATATAAGACTGCTACTCTAATCTTTAGTATGTGATCATGTTACAATGCAAGTCTTGTTAGTTGTTTGTAAACTAGTTAAGACTGCATGCAGAACCTGAATCATAAATTCATAATTAAAGGGAAAGAAAATGGCGTGTTTGCTTCTTAATTTTGTTTAAATTGTACACCAGTGAAAAATAAATCTGTTATTTGTCAAAGAACTGTTTTGGAATTTTAGGGAAACCCCAGCTAATACCAGTCCCTCCTTGCTGTCCCAGTCCCTACATCTGTGTGACTAATCCGACGATCTTGTTCATAGAAATATCCGTACTTGATTTTGTTGTTGCTAAAATTAGGACAAGGAATTGACCCATTCTCAGAATTCTGAACTGTCCTACTACATCTGTTTATACTTATTAATGTGTTTACTGTCAACTGACTTCTATAATAGTGTGTTTTGCTGTTCCACAGGCATGACCATGGCTCTTCAGGCTCCGATTCCTCGTTGTTAATGGGACACGCTGCAACTGGTTTAGCTCGTATCAGCACAATCCTTCTGCATGTTATAAGCCATATTTGGCCCAACCATGGTTCTCTTTTTTCCTTACTCATGAACCATCTCCATCTCCTGCTAGACTCCCTACTCGTGTAGGCAGTTGGCCGAGGTTGAGAAACATTTGTTGGTCCCCCATAGGGATCACACCCCCCCAAAAAAAAAATTAATTCATGCATTCTCATTGCATTTATCTTCAAGGAGTCTTAATCAAAGAGATAAGTCTCCTGAAGTAACCATCAACCAACTTGGCTATTTTGGAGAGCGAAGTTGGATGCATATAGATTGATCGTACATTTAGCCTCAGGAAAGGCTAACCGCGTGACAACTACTACCAAGTTTAGCTTCAATTGTGCCAGTAATAGTGAAGGCATATGGAAGTACATAGCTCTGTGATGTAGGGTATAGCTATTAGTCACACTAACCTACTTTGATGTTAACTAACAAGTCTTGCTATTGATGAGGTCATATGTCAAGGCTACTTGCTCGACGAGTATGGGGCATGGGGTGCTCTATTACTGCTTACCTCTGTATCATTTTAGCGAATATTCACATGTGAAAACATCTAGCAGTGGAGCTTCCCCGTGGTTGGGGAATCCATCTTTGAGTCGACAAAATATCTTCATTGTTGGCTCATGGTGGCTAAATTTGGAATTTTAGCCTTATTTTCACTGTACATTATTATTACCACCACTCATGGGGAGATTTTCTTTTAGTTGGTATTCCCCATTGATCAGCATGTAGCATTCTAATACATCGTTGAACTCTATTAATGGTTAATAGAGTTCAATAATGCGACTTCATAACACATCCTTCTTCCCCTCTCCTCGACCCAAAAGAAAGGAGGCGCGGAATGGGATCCATCATTTTTCGTCTCTAATGTCTATGAATGTAGTAGCTCAGTAACTTTCGGTATCTCCTTTTAATTCGGTGCTCTTCATGTATTTACCTTTGTAGGTTCATGGTCTCACACCATCAATCAGGGATTGTGGTGTGCTGCTAAGAATAAGATTTATTAAATGTTAATCCTTTTTATTAGTTGTTTAGATTTGATATTCTAATGTTCTGAATTACGACAATATAAACTGTTATTATGTAATAGTAGAGAAAAAGTTGCTTACTGTCTAACTTTTTTTGAATTATGCTGTTAGCTTTATGTCACGTTTTGTTATCTAACTTTGTTACCCGCCAAAATTCTTTTGAATTGTGAATTAATTTACCATTTCAAACTCTTTTCTACTTTAAATTTATTTGAGAAAATTACTTACTGTATAAAAGACGAGCAAAGAGTCAATGACACGTTTGGTTTCTGATACATGATGATGATTTCTTTGTAATGGATTCGCTTTATTTGAATTTTAAGAGATTTGAAGAAATACTTTTGACATTTTGGTCCCTTTTAACAATGAGTATCCTTGAATATCAGATAGTACAAAGACAGAATGATATGTAGGGATCATTTTTTAATTGCACAATTTAGTAGATTGGTATGTATCAAATTTATATCTGATACTCCACCTTATTCCTTTAATGTTTGCTCCATTTGAATTTTGAGAGTTAAAGGTTAAAAATGTTGATCACTCGTTCACATTAATCCATAAAAATAAATTATTTATATGGTAACTATTAGTTTTGTTGTAGTATGTTGTTTCATATAATATATGAATTAGTAGTGTGTTTTTTGTAATATAATATTTATTTTCTTATAACTTCATTAACACAAGTTTAAGATATTTAACAGTGAATTGTATTTCTTAGAGACAATAAAAAGCAAATGGGGCAAAATTAAGGGATAAAGGGAGTGTGTCAAAGTGATATGAGATGATTAAATGTAAAAATGAGTATATAAATTACTTTTGTGTGTCATGTGGGACATGATTTTAGTACTTGGATTTGTGTCACATATGATTTAAAATTAAAAAAATTAATTTATAATTTTAGCAATACTTCGGGTTGTTACAAAAGAGAAAATCTAAGTTACTCAATTTAAGTAATAATCCATGTTATTTAAAGGACACACTGGTCATTTTGCCACCTAAGGTGGGGGTAATTTGTCATGTCTGGTTATAGTCCAGAAAATGGAGTTAACGTGTGGTATGGAAATTCACGTCGACTGTTCGCAATTTCATTTCAATGGAGATGTCAGAAGCTAGCTTCAATGGAAATTTTAGAAGCTAAGGGTTATGTCAATGGAGGAACATAACACCCCTACCCTTTGAGCTTGATTATGCCCTTTATTTCTCACTTGTTTTTAGGTTTTCATTTGAATGGTGGTGGGTGGAGATTAAAGGTGTCAGAATGGTAAAAAGGGTGGTGGGTGAAATAAAATTGAAGAAGAAGATGGGTGACATGGTGGAATTTGTATCCTCAGGAAGAAGATGAGTGAAATGCCGGAAAATTGGAAATTGCTACGGTGTCAAATGCAAAGTCAGCTTGTAAAAATAATTTAAAAAAAAATTTTTTTAAAGTTGTTCAGATTTACAAAAAGTTGTCAAATTGGAAATTACTACGGTGTCAAATGCAAAGTCAGCTTGTAAAAATAATTTTAAAAAAAAAAATTCAAAAAATTGTTCAGATTTACAATAATGTCATTTGAGGAACGAAAATTATTACTCAATTGAGTAAATAGGGGATAGGGCTTGCTCGTTACAAAATACAATCATATGTAAATTAATTTTAAGATTGGTTCAATTTATTGCTATGTATGTTAAGGTTAGTTTTAGTTTCATATAGTTTAAGATTAATACTCTTATTATATTTTAAGTATCATTAATGATAGATATTATAATATGATATTGTTTGTCATAATATATTTTGTATACTCATCTTACTAGGTTTTCTAGCACAGTTAGGTCTATTCTTGTAACCCTATAAGTTGATCAATAACATACACTTTAAATTGAGGAGTTTTTTTGGAATCTAACATGGTATCAGAATTTCGGTTAAAACTCAAATTTGGTAAAAAAAAAAAAAGAAAATTACAATATGATTTTGACCTAGTGGTGGTTAATAGCCAAATAGCCAAAATCTGGATAGGGTTAGGTAAAAAAAGTGGGTCGCTAAACGTCGCCCTCAAATCTCTAACTAACGCCCGCAAAATAACCTAAAATGAGGTACGTAGCCTTGTTATAAAAATATTATAAAATAATTATTTTTACCTAAACTTAACACTTTTACCCTACACAAAAATTTTTACCGTTCTCTCTAATGTTTACCGGCCACCAACGATCACGTTGAACCACCAACTACTGTATTTTTCAAAATCAAACAAATAATTTAAATTTTGCAAAACCTAAATCGTTGGATCCCATGGAAGACAACGAAAGACCAGAAATACCACCTATGTTGCTCGCCGGAGGCTCGTCGGACCGTACAGAACCGGTACGCTTATTTAACTTTTTTTTGTTTCTGAAATTCCCAGGCAAACGCCCAGAAATTTCGAAAAACCTAGGTGGAAACGCCTAGTTTTTTCGAACACCCTAGGAACTTTCGAAAAAACTAGGCGTTTCTGCCTAGGTTTTTCGAAATTTCTGGGCGTTTGCCTGGGAATTTCGAATTTATTTTCTTTTTGGTTTTGAATTTCACGTATTCGTTATTATTATTATTGTGATTATATTACCTGTGTTTTTTATTATAATTACTTCTGTTTGCTAGCACTTATGAAGTGTGAAATTGAGGTAAAATTAATTATTTTAAAAATCGTTATTATAAGGATAAGTACGTAATTTTATGTTATTTTGCGGGCGTTAGTTAGATATTCGAGGGCGATATTTAACAACCCCTAAAAAAAAAAGAACAAATTTTATATTTGAAGGCCAAAAGAGGGCTACTAAGCTTCATTCATAGAGAAATCGTGCTCCAAAAAAGGAACAATATAAGACGAAAAGTCAATAGTCCAAATACGCCTTTCTATTGTCCAAGACTCCAAGGCATGAATTTTCCTCCCTATGAACAAAGCTGCAAGACACACACTATAGAGAACCACTAACATGATATATATCATCTAAGACAAGGTGAAAACTATTACTCTCCCATTCATGTAACTTAATTGCGTTCAGAAGGCCAAGACAATTGCTCTCGCCGATTACATACCTTTAATGGGATTATAAGATTGTGTTTCCCAGATCACTTGAGAGTAAAATATAGTAGTTGATTGAGAATTCTTTTAGTGGAAGGAGGTGGAAGAAAACATTGAATGGCTAATTGAGATTTCTTAGCGTGTCTTTCCGTTCGATTGGTTATACCTTGAGGTGGAGTGATTGCCCCTTTGTATAGCTTTGAGTTGTTGTATATTTTGGATGGTTATTGCATGATTTACTCAACCGTTCCTTGAATAGTGGGAACTAGTCTTTTGAGAATATATTTAATGATGGAAAAGTCCATATTATCCTTACATCTCCCTTCCCACTTACCTTAAGCCTTGAAGCTACCACCGCCACCACCACTAAAAAGTCCCCAAGAGTGTGTTTAGTAATTTTTTCATTATCATTTAAAATTATTTTCGTAAATTTGAAACCTTTATCTATTCAATCTCTATTTATTTGTCATTATATCCCATGATTTATAATTTTTTTAATTTGAATAAAGTTTTTTTTTTTAACATTATTTTTTCATGCATTTTTATTTTTCCCAGTGAACTTGTGTTAAGAAAACGAATTGGCCTATAGGAGGACTAGTTCTACCAAGGCGAATTGGCGAAGATACCCAGTTTTGAATAATCTTGAAAAAAGAATGTCCTAAATCTCCTAATTCCTAAACTCCTAATTTATCTATACTTGAGTGTATCCTTGCTAATGCATGGGAATAATAATATAAAAAATGTGAAAGTTTTTTTTTTTTTTTTTTTAATTTTGAAGAGTTATTGGGGAGAAGTTAGGGAAAAAAATTGTAAAATTATACAAGTACTTCCTAATATACGAAGTAGATTTTACATTTTATTTTAAAAAAGAACCTTTTAAATTTTTATTTTGGTGCAAACATTTGAAAAATCTTAATTCACAGTCTACTTGTAAATTTTAGACAGTCGAGTATTCTCACTCTTCCCGCTGAAAACCCCCTATTTTGCTGCACACTACAGGCCCCTTGCTTCAGCCATTTTCTTCCGAAATTTCAAGCAAGATGATGAAATTAGCCACCATTTTCAAGTCCAGGTTTACTCTACTTTCTGCTTAATTTCAATCTTTGCAATTAGGGTTCCTATTTTCCCCCCTTTTCCTTGATTCGTCTTTTCAATTTTATTTCTACCGTTTATTTACTGCTATTAGGGTTTTGGTTTTCTGTTTATTGTAGCATTACTCTGTAAATTGACTATATTTCTGCTATAGTTTTATGCTTGCGTCGAACTGAATGTGCATTTCTCTGTTTTGTTTTATTTTATTTAAGCATTGATTTCGTATTTGTTTGTTTAATAGAAAATATTTGTTAATAATTTGTGAGTGATGTTGATTTTTGATGGTACTCTCCCTCCTAATTAATAAATAAAATTAAAATGGGGATTGAAATGTCTGAATTTGTTCTTTGTGTTGATGGTTAAGTGGTTTTCATGCATTTGGAGCTTTGGGATACTTTTGGGCTGACTGAATGTGGCTGAAGAGGTTGTTGTACGTTGTGTTGATGTTTCGGAGTATGTTTGGCCAAAATAAAAGGGGGTTTGCAAATAGATTTCGGCGTAAATTGATTCGACTAGAAAGAAAGTTTTTGAAATGGTTGCAGATGCAGAAAATTTTAGCACATATTTTAGTGTAATGACCTTGATGGTATAGAATTCTAATCCGCAAAGAGTGATGGTAATGCATTGAATGACGGAAGGAGGTTGACTGGGGAGTTTGTTCATACGCTCTTTTTGTGATGGAACAAGCGTTATTTACTTATTTTTCCGGCTTAGTTTTATCATTAAGTAGAAGTAAATCATTTTCTTATTAATTAAATAGAGCCCTACCTTAGCATTGTCATCAATACTGCTTTGATTATGAGGATGCCAATTGCCAAATTAGAATAAGCTATTTTATTTCTGAATTTTTTAGTGACATTCTATTCTATTTTCTCCTGAAATTAAGGGGCAATGTTCCTGGACAACTCCTCAAACGGAGTAATCTTACACAAGATGTCTTTTGCTTGCACGCTTTGATGGGCTGTGCTGGCATGTCTACAGTTGGACAAAAGACTTTTACCAATGGTAATAGCAATATCAAATGGATTCTTTTTTTTCTTCCTTTTGGAATTGCATTGTGGTTGATTGAGTTTGATGAGCCCTTTCATGTATCTGAGATGTTTCTTACAACGTGCAGATCGCATTTTTGCACCATACTATGTGTACAAGGGAAAAGCGGCATTCTCTGCTGAACCCATTCCTCCAAAATTTTGTAAAGTTGATGTATGAAGCATGAACATAAGCTATTCTTAATAATTTTTTCTGGGGTTGTTAATAATAAATTTTTTGGTGTGCAGTCTGGTATCAGAGTTAAGCGTCAAGGATTTATTATGATGTCCTTTTCTCCTTCTGTGGGAGAGCGCAAGTACGACTGGCAGAGGAAGCAGGTAGATAATTGCTTGTTCCGCGGGTCTATTGAACAGTTTACTGTCAGGCTTATATACATGATACGTTGATACATCCCTTTTCCCACTAAGATATAGACTCCTCAATGTAGCTGTTATGTTTGGATTGGATCATAGTGTTTAAGTTTAAAACGGATGAATAAATGTAGTACATAGTATGTGTTAGCTTTATGTCTTCACAGGGATGCATTACCTGAAATAAAGGCATGAAACCCTCTTTACTTCGGATGCTGAACAAGCAGTCTTAGGAAAAGCTGCAAGGACACTGTTGAATTTTTTGTTTTGAGATTATGCATATGATATTTCCCATCGTCTGTTACAGTTTCTTGACTATTTATCATATGGAAGAGATCTGTTCTTGGTTTGCAATCAAGATCGAAGCAGGGTTTTAAATTGTAGTTGTAGTCTATATCACGGTGATGTCTGCGATTGTAGAAGCATGCATTATTGTGATGTCTCATAAAAGTTATAGTTGATGTGGCATGATTCATATATCATTCTTATTGGCCAAATTATTCTTTCATTGGCCCATTAGTTGTGATCAGTGAATATGTAACTATCCATAATAACTGGAGAAATATTGGTTTGACGGGCTGAGCAATTGATACTTATCTGCTTATATTCAGAATCATTTTTGAAGTAGATCAGTGTATATGATTCTTCATAGGTCAGAAAGCAAGGGTATATATACTGATCTTCTGAGCATTATCACTTGTATACAAAGTAGATGCTAACCTTGGACTTGGAGCATGTAGCTCAACTATTCTAGTTGTTGATCTGCTTTACCATCTTGTATGTCACATAGTCACCTATTTAGTTTATTAATTTCTGTTAAAGGTGAGACAAGTGTCCCATATTCTTCTTGTCATTCTCCTACCTCTTGATTGTTTGACTGACTTGGTCTGATTCTTCAGATGTTTGCATTGTCACCCACTGAGGTTGGCTCTTTGATTGCGTTGGGTCCTAATGGTTCTTGTGATTTTTTCCATGATCCTGCTATGCAGACAAGGTTAATTTTTGTCATAGAATAGTTTTTCTATCATGTTTTGCATGACTGCATCGTGAAATTAATCCTTACCTTGTATATGACAATGTTAGTAATGCTGGCCAAGTGCGAAAGAGCTTATCAATTAAACCAAGTCCAGACGGTACTGGTTATTTCATGTCTTTGAGTAAGTCTTGTTTCTACTGTATCTTTTCTCTCTGTTCATTCCTACAAGTTTGGGTTAGCTGTAGATGAATACTTTGTTGCCTTCTGAATCCTCTATAATTGAAAACCAAATTAGGTTTTATGTATTTATTAATTATATTTAAGGCCTGGTGGTATTGGTTTACAGTTTGCTAGAAAAATTCATATAAGGTTAGCTTTAAAATTCTTGTATACTCCCTCCATCCCTATTTACTAGTCCCATAGCCATTTGCACGAGGTATTATGCAAGTAAAATAGTTGAGAAATAAAAAAATAACGGGTGGGCAAATGTGGGACCAACCCAAGAGAAAAAACAAAGAGAATTTCTTAAAAAGGAATTGGGGCAAGTAAAAAGGGTTGGAGGGAGTAATAGGCACCTATTTTTAAAGTTTAAACTACTGTGCTATGAATATGTTAGGTTTGAATAAATTTCCTTTCTCAATTATACTAGTTTACTGGATGTTTGCCTTAAAGAGTTAAAGGTTACCTTGGCTTGCAACAATTATTTAGAAAACTGTTTGTCTATTCATTTGATCCTTCTGCTTTCCATCTTTCTAGGTGTTACCAATAATATCACGAAGACCAATGAGCGCTTTTCTGTTCCTGTGACAAGTGCTGAATTTGCTGTCATGCGCACGTCATTCAGTGTATGAGACCTTAAACTCCCTCTTTTAAATTCCTCGCATTTTTTAAATTTGTGTGTGGATGGTGGCCAGTGGCTCGGTGGGTGGGAGGGGAGTAAATATTATTGTATCCTGGTTAATAATAACATACTCTGACAGTTTTGCACATTTCTCATCTTGAAATTTGTTGCTTGCTTTCTCATATTCTTAAACAATCTGAACTCTAATTGATAATAAGTGAACCTCAGTTTTCACTTATAATTTAGAAGAAAAATCTGGTGATGGGTATTAGTAGTTGGATATGTGGACCAACAGGTATTTGCCGGGATCTCTTTGTTAATTTCAGAGATTTTCAAGAGTTAATCTCAGTCAAAAAATAGTCAGAGTTGACAGTATTCATTGCCGTACATTTCTTCAATTTTCTTCTTTGCTCCTATCACGTCACTGTATTCAATTGTAATCAAATTCCTGAAACTAATCAATCATTTCTTGGAAATATGCAATATTAGTGGGATTAGGTGGTTTCATGTTTAATGTATGACCATTTAGACTTCCGCTTCTTGATTATCATGCTCATGACTTGGAACCTTTGTAAGATGTTTCATATACTTGCATCCCTTCTATTGATATTCAGTTTGTCTAGCTTTTTAAATGTATGGGCAGCTAATAATTTCTTTTGGACAACAATTATGAGTTTTTTCTCATTCCTCTTCTCCATACTCAAAGGTGGAGATGTCTAGCTTTATAAATGTAAGGGCAGCTAATTATTTCTTCTGGGTAACAATTATAAGTTTTTTCTCATTCCTCTTCTCCATACTCAAAGGTGGAGATATCTTGTAGTTAGTTGCCTGTAATTAATTTGAAGATACTACCAGCAATAACTTTTAGCTTTTTTCGGTGTCCTAATGTAACTGATAAATTTATGTAGGAGCAGTAATGGAAATTTGCGAAGGTTTCGATTTTTTGTTAAATATTGAGAGTTGCATTACAAAATTTTACGAATTTGTTGATATTGGATATGATACTCAAATATTTGAGGTGTAATATCCCCCCTTTCTTTGGTGCTAGTATAACAGCTGTGAAAAGGAACCAATTCTTTTCACCCTTGCAAATCTTATGTCTGTTGTCCTTCTACAACTCTTCACAAAAGAAGAGTTCAAACGATCTCTCGAATCATAGACCAACTAGTGACTGGTTTAGTATATGGTACTGCTCGTCAACTTAACGACTGACAGTTGCCGCAGTTCTGTTGAATGCATCTATTTTGTTAGCAAATACTATCATCAGTATATTTGCTTCTTGCTGGCCTTTGATATGACTTGGTTTTGTAGTTTGCGTTGCCTCACATCATGGGTTGGGATCGATACTCTAGCCAGCCGCCCGTTTTTAAGGAGGAGAATGCAACGAAAGTTGGTCTGCGGAGCATGGATTCAGAATGGGACAGATGAACTGAGACACAACAAACTAATGAACATAGGACTTGTTTGGACTGTATTAATCGAATTTTCATTTTGTAAGGAAGGCCTTTTGCCAACTCCATGATGATTAGGAAGTTATCCTAGGATGCCAGTATATGTAATATAGTACATAATTTCCTTGCAATATTCAAAGAGCCTGAATTTGGTATGGGGTTAGTTGTATGCTTCTTGTGCTTCTTTGAGTTTTGTTGCCCAAAACCTGGGGTGTGTATGGAAGGTACATGACTTGCGAAATTAAGTCAAAGGACTTATAATCCATTTGTTCCACCCTTTTTTTTTTTTTTTTGATGTTTTAGGCAGGAGATCTATATGTTAAGCACTTATATATGTCCAAGATGTTTTGTTACACTTTTCTTATTAGGCCATCCTATACTTGGAGAAAATTCAAGTTATATTACATGGCATTTTTGTCATTTCTAAAGTTAAAACAAGGTTATTTTTGCCATCTTTAAGAAGAGACACTCTAGAACAACTTCAATGAAGATTGGAGAACTCATGAATACGAAGAAGCTCATGAACACCTTGGACACCATCAATGGTGAACTCAATAGAGGGAAGTCACACTAGCAAACGACACATACCTTTCACTTAGAGTTAATGACTCCCTTAATTTCTATATATTTTTCTTAGGGTTTTTGTTGGATTTGACATAGGTGGTGTCGGGGTTTGGTGTTCTCTGTTGAAGCAACTTGAAGAAGAAATTGAAGAAGATGGGTGAGGATCAGAGGAAGAAAGTGAAGGTGGGTGGAGATCGAAGGAGGAAGAAGATGAAACCATGGAGGTGGGTCATGATTGGGTAGGCGCCAGATAAAAGTTTTTTTAAATAATTTTTTACTCTAAACGTGAAAATATTTACAATTTTGCCACCAAGATAAACTTATTTGTCTCTCAAAAAGAAACCTGGCTTCATCTTATACTTGTTAAAACACTTTTGCAAAACAACATATATTTTTCGTTATTTTTTTATGACTCTCATTTTTCTTTGCATCCACTTAAAAAATAACCTCATTATACACTAATATAATGTACTAACTTATGATGACAAAAATCCAATACAGGTCAAGGATGTGTAGTAATTTAGGACAAATGGAATGTCTAATTAGATAAATGTGAGTGCACCTCAAGTTTTTAAGCAAAGATGGAAATTAATACACTAATCAAGCATAGGGCTAGGCTGGGTTTTGGTATTCCAAATTTGCTCAAATTCGCACTTTTTTTATTTTGAGTTGAGCTATAATAAAATGAACTTTACAGAAGGTAGTAAAATTTATCCAAAATACCGAGTACATTTTAAACTCGCACTATTCTAAATTTCTAAGTTGAGCCATTGACTAATAGAATATCTTATGTGATTCAGTGATTGTGACATGAAAATAAAAATAATTAAAACATGAGGTGAGAACAAAAATGAAAAGAGTGAGTCACAAGAAAATAAATATAAAATAAACATGAGGTGAGAACAAAAATGGAAACTTTAATTTCAGTTTGCCTCCACTCCATCTCGGATCTCAAACCATTATTACTCTTCTTTAGCTATATCTTTTCTCTCTCAACCCGATCCGACCCGACCCGACCCGAGAAATGCGGAATCCGACGTCTGCTTTGGGTACCTGGCTTCACAACAAGATCGTCGAACCCCTTCTCCAAATTTTACGCAGGTTTTCTTCTCTATCTATTTTTAGTGATTATTTGTGCATTTTTCTACTCATTTTTTTTCTTAAATTTTGGACCTTTTTACTTTGATAATCTCCAAATTATTGACCCTTTTGAGGTGGGTATCATAATCTATGTCAAATAATCTTTTTTAATGTTTGTTTCAGTTCAAATTTCCAAGCTTTGATTTGGGTTTATTGACCATTTTCGAAATTAGCATATATTGCTTAATATCATGATTAATGTAATTAATTATTGTGTAATTGGAATGATTATAGGGGTGCTGAGTCTAAGCAATTGGCATTTTCAACATCTTTGGGTTTTACCTTGGGTGTATTCCCAATATGTGGTATGTTATCTCCTCTTTTTCCTGTTTAATTGAGTAGAAATTTTGTATTTTTACTGTTGATGTGAAATTTTGAGCTTTTGGGTATGATTGTATGACTACTTTTAATACTTAGTACTAAGTATTTTTTTTGCTGTTTAAATGAATTGTTTTTGGATATAGCTTGTTGTTAAAGTTGATTATGTGTTTGTGTTGAGCTATCTGCAATTGTAATTGGTGTTGTTTTGTGGATTTAAATTGTTGGTACTATGATATGTATTACTCTATCGGCCTGTTTGGTAAGTGGTGATAAAGGGGGGTGATAGGAACAGATATTTCTATATAATCTTGTAAAGGATGTCACTTGCTAATGTCCATGTTGATGGAACTCCAATCCTGTGTTTTCTTCATATGTTTCTAGTTTTTAGTCAATTGTCAATACTACATTACTACCTCTACATGTGTTAATGAGTTGTTAATCTTGTTATTGAAAATTGGAAATTATGAAAAAAAGAGATATGGATAAGCATAACCTTGATTAAACATTTCTTACATCACCTCCATACATTACCATATACTATACGGGCCATATATACTCCGCATTTCAAAGGGAAAAATAATGTGATGATAAATGTGTTTTAGTTTCCATGTTCTCAGTGTTTTCTTCTTTCTTTTGCTCAAAGATGCATGTTTGTATGGTTTTACCTCTAAATTGCTTTGTGAAGTCATTTGGAACTCTACAACTAGTAACTAGAGAATTAATATCTAAGTTTAAAACTATCTTTCTTCCCAAAATCCTTGCATTTTTGTACACAAAGGATTTTTGACTCATTTTATTATTTTGTGGTATTCACCATTTACCTTCACGTATCAATTTATTGGAAGTTTATTTTTTACTCAAATATCTAAGAAATTTTTATTAAACTAGTAAAAAAATATTTATTTTCGACCACCAATTGTGGTTCACCATTTACCTTCACCTATTGGTCTTGAAATGATAAATCATGCCTCACATATTTGGCTTCCAATAGAGTATGTGCGTTTTAGGTAATGTTTTAGCGTTAGTGTGTGTGTGTGCGCGTAAACACACCATATATATATTGCTGAAATAAGATAGTCATTTATTAAGTAGATTGGTCCCTTGGAAGTTGCAGTAGAAGTCTGTTGTTATAATTGCTCTATTGGTATCATGCTTCTAAGTGCGACTACTGAGTTTAAGTAATGTTCATTTGAGAATGTACATGCTAAATTTAACTTTAACAGGGGTAACTGTTTTTTTATGTGGAATTGCTATTCCTTTGTTGGGGTCACGTTGCCATCCTGCAAGTGTGCTGCTGGCGAATTTTGTAGCTACTCCCATTGAATTGAGGTAATTTTCTTTTAAAATGAATAATGGGAAATATCTCCTATGAGGTTAAATCTACTTCAATGTTTTTCTGACTGTAATTGGGTTGCTGGTCTTATAATTTTACCTTTGTGGATCATTTGTACCCACCCTTGTGGTTCATTTGTACCCTTAATTTTGTGATCTGCTATATTATAGTTTCTATGCTTTGTAGTTTGGTGATACCCTTCCTGCGTCTTGGTGAAGCTATCTGTGGTGGTCCTCAATTTCCATTGACCTCTGATGCTTTGAAGAAGGTTCTGACAGGCCAAGCTTCAACTGATGTTCTACTAAGCATTGTTCATGCGGTATGAATTCAACCTATTATATTTCTTCTTCCCGCCTCTCTACTTGTTTGCTCTCTCTATTATTTTGGGCGGTGTGTACAGTATACCTTGCACACCAAACAACACCTGTATACCATAGCCCTAGTGGCTTTAATGAAAGTACGAAACTTCTACCATGGGTAAGGCTGAAGGAAAGGTGGCAGTGCCAGCCTGTTCTACACAACTTCAAAGACTTTTTGACAATCTCAAATGGCTTTTTTCTCCGTCTCGAAGATGATTAGAAAAAGGGTTATTTGGTAATCTAGTAATAGCAGCATATAGGAAATATAGGTAGAGTTTAAAGAGACATTTGCTTTGGTCTTTTAAATTCCGAATTCCAAAGTGCTAGTATGTATGGCTTTTACATTTTTTGTGACAGTTTAAAAGATACCAAGTATGTATTGTTACCTCTTTTTTGGGTTCATTGATTCAGTTATGTATAGTTAACAAAAAAGGATGGATTAAAGGTGGAATAAAATACCCTTCTTTGTTTTGAAGATTAGATATATGATTATTTCGTATATCTAACCTCCCTATCACTTCAAAATGGTAAACATAAGCTACCAGATAATAGCCAGAAATTTGTTGTTTGGTTGACTGCTTTTCTCAAGTAAGCAATAAATACAGGCAGCTAATGAGTTAAATGAACTTGTTAGACATTCTTTGATGGCAGTTCACTGCTAAAACCATATTCACGTGGATAACACTCAACCCTAGGTTTCCTAAAAAATGTATTCCTATGGTTGATATTAGAAAATCTCATTTAGTTGATGGTCCAGTCTTAAAAAAATAAAATAAAATAAAAAATTGTGACTATCTATCAAATTCATTTTCAAAGTCATATGCTCCTTGTTATTCAAATTGAGCAATTACAGAGCAAAATATAGATAATATATATCATATGGGTTCATTAGATTCATTGTCAGTTAAAATTCATAAAGAAATTGTTAGTATTGAAGTACAAGTACAACATATTCCCCTTGTATTGAAAGTTCCAATCCAAAAAATATTGAAAAAGGATATATAAATTTTCTTTTAGATATGATTCAAGGTGCCATGAAACCTTTTGTTCATCAAGGCGTTCTCATGTTGATGCTCCTATTTCTTTAGCTTAAAGGGACATGTTTTCCTTAATTTTTGTTTTTTTGGTGCAACATCATCTCTTTAGGTTAAGTTCAGTCATCAGAATTTGGTTTTTCTTTGTATGGTCTGTTTTTATCCTTGATCATAACTGTTTTATCCATTAGAAATCTTTGATGACAGATCCCAATATACCAAATTGGTTTGAAATTTAAGAGGCTTATGATGACGATGATGATCACTTAACCACCTAATATTTCAAAGTGCTTGTTCTTTTTATTTTAATAAGTTTCAAACTGACCTTTCCTAACTTGTTCATTATTACTTTTGTCGTCAATTGTTTCTCAACTGAAATCTGGTACTCTGCTGTTGTCAACCAAAGGGAAAAAAATAAATAAATAAAACAACACTAGGGGGTATAACCTTTTCAGCTCAATTTGACTTATCTGAACCTATGTTATTTTTTCCCCTTTTACGCTGTTATTGAACTTTTTGAATTTTTTTTTTTATCTGA